GCACCGGCAGAGCTGGGGGGACCAGGGCTGGGCTGGGCTAGCAGGGGCTGCGGGTCAGGAGTGAGGGGCACCGGCAGAGCTGGGGGGACCAGGGCTGGGCTGGGCTAGCAGGGGGCTGTGGGTCGGGAGTGAGGGGCACCGGCAGAGCTGAGGGGGGGCAGGGCTGGGCTGGCAGGGGCTGTGGGTCGCGAGTGAGGGGCACCGGCAGAGCTGGGGGGAGCCCAGGACTGGGCTAGCAAGGGCTGTGGGTCAGGAGTGAGGGGCACTGGCAGAGCTGGAGGGGGGGGAACCCAGGGCTGGGCTAGCAAGGGCTGCGGGTTGGGAGTGAGGGGCACCGGCTTATCAGGGGAGGGGGCCAAGAGTCCAGGACTGGGCTAGTAGGGGGTTGAGGGGCATCAGCAGAGCTTGTGGCAGCCTCATTGGGCTTCTATGCCCACCGCAGACAGCAACTGCCCTTGTTCTCTGGGTCCGGGTGGGCTGTGGAGGTGCGGGGTGTGTGGGGGCTGAGGGGAGAGCAGTGATGCAGTGAGGGGATGGCAGCTGGAGTTGGACGGGGGCTGGTGTGTGTCCCATAGGGCCCCCCCTTTTGCCCAGCTTGGGGCAGTACCAGCTCCCCAGCTCCAGGTTGGACAATGTCCTGGCACAGGGGCTCACTGGTCTGGTAGGGAATTGCTGGGGCTCCCCTGGGGGACATATTGCCTGGGGAGACTGAGTCAAAGCCCTTGGTCCTCAGCTGGATCCACCGGGGGGATGGGGGGCTCAGTCTGGTTTTGTGGGGGCAGCCAGCTCCTACCCCTCCCCCACATGAATGGGGCATGGAGACTGCACTTGCGTGGGGGGCTGTGGAAGCCCCAACCCAGCTGCCCTCCCCAGAGTGCCCCGCCAGCCCTGCGTGCCGAGTGCTCGCCCCTCAGCGCTCCAGAACCCCCCGGGGACAAGGCTGCTCTGCGTGACCTTGTTCCCAGCAGCCACCTGGCCCTGTGGAGACAGACAGGGACAGCTGCGGGCCGGGGGGGGGGGGGGGGGCGGCAGGAACCCACCAGATTCATCAGGGATCCCTTGGAAAATTGATCACCTTGTTAAACTGGGGGTGGGTGAAGGAGGGGGGCGGGCCCCTGGGCTGGGGGCTGAAGGGAGGCGCAGGCAGGGTTAGCCCGTCATTTGGGACTCTGGCCTCATGAGAGGCCTTAGTGCATGTCCGGCCTTCCCTTGGGGCCTCGCACCTTGCCACAGACCCCCAAATAAGACCAGCCAGGCGGCACCCTGCAGCAGCCCAGCTAGGGCGGGAAGGGCCCAGCCCAGAGGGATGCCTGCAGGGAGCCCTGTGATCGGTGCTGAACGTTCAGAGTGAGCGATGCCTCGAATGGCGGAGAATCCACTCCCCAAAGCCACAGTGGCCCACAGGTCAGTTCCTAGAGGAGTTGGGAAAATGGGACTTCTGCCTCATGGATTTTTTTCACAGGAAGAAGTAACCCTAGTGAAAACCGCCCTGTCCCACGGGAAACGCTGACATGAAGCCAGAGCGCTTTTTCATTTGGGCTTCAAATTAGTGGTATGTGTTTGTGTGTCTTATGGGAGCACCCTGGAGCTGCAGTCCTGGGGCAGAAGCCTGGCGTGCCAGGTGCTGTACAAATACAGCAGCACGTTGGGTTGGTTTTGGAACCAAATAAACAGTTTGAGCAACTGGGGAAGCTCCTGCTGGCTCGCTCACCCCCCGCCCCATAGCCATGTGCGTGAGTGTCTGCTGCCGGGCGTGCAACGCAGCCACCCCATCTCAAGTGTTCATCAGTTGAGAGATCAGTTTGAAAACCAGGTTTTCCACCATGTAAAATGCCGGAGGCTGCTTATTTGCCTGCTGCCTCTGCAGCTTTTGGGGGGTTGCGTTCTCCCAACTTGTCTCGCTGACTGCAAAGGGCAAGAATCTGACTTAGGGATGCCAAGATCCTGCTGCAATCACAGGACTCCAGGAGCTGGGGCTCAGTGGAAACCCGCAAACAGGATGAGAGCTGGCAGCACGGCAGGGATGGGGCATGGAGCCAGCATGCTTGGGTGGGGGCATGGCCACTGGCTACACCCAGGTTCCTGGGACCTCTTCACCCCACGCAGGCATCAGGGCGAGTGGGGATGAGCTTGCATCCTTGGCAGCTGGGTGGATGTCACTGGGGTAGCAGCTTCCCAGGGCCCCGCCAGCCAGGTTGAGGCTAGAAGGCTCCTGGGGTTTTCTTCTGGCCATGGGAGAAGGCTGGGTGGGGACTGGGGGCTGAATTGCAGCCCAGGACTCTGGCTTTTCATATCCCCTCTGCCTGGGAGGGAGGGGGAGAGAGAGTCAGACACGGCCACCCCCACCACAAAGAGGACTTCGTCTCCTCCAGCTGGAACATAAAGGGGCTCATCTCACAGGATCCTGGGCCACTCACTGGGGCTGGAACACAGCACCCTGGCCCACGGATGGGCCGTAGGTTGTGGCTGGCGCCCCACATGTGGGACATGGGGCGGGGTTAGCATGCCCCAGAGGCTCCTTGCCAAAGGGTGAGCTGGTCTTTGCAAACATCTCTCACCGCAGACCTGACACTCTCACTGCTCCAAACACGCCGTACAGGCCGTTTTGCCAGAAGGAGGAACATGAGAGGCTGCAGGAGGCACCTGACTTGTCAAGATTCACAATCCTTGTGTGCCATGTGCCCCAAAGAGCTAACAAAGACTGTGTTGCTACTGCCAGGGTGTGTGGGGAGCTCGGGGTGCAACTCAGCCATGGGGAGGGGTGTGAACCAGTCATTGACCCCCAGTCCCCTCATTAGCCAGGTAGTGCTGGTTCTAGTCTGCCCTGGCCACAGCCCAGCCAGTCGCTGGAAAACCAGCAAAGACAATTGCCGATGAGCACAGCCAGTGGGAGGTGACCCAGCCCGCCGGAGAGCACCCTGGTGGGAAGCAAAGACAATCGCGTCTCAGGATAGCAGAGGCCCTCGGTGCACAGTCATTGAGGGAACCCCTGGAGGGGGGCTTCCATGAACGTCTGGCTCCTGGGCCTTGGGCGTGGCAGGGAACCCTGCTCTGGTAGCTAGACCGGGGTACTGCAGAGACATGCGGAGCCAGGGCTGTGGCTCGTGCTTTGCTCTGGGTTGTAACCAGGTGTTCCCATCACGTCTCATCATTCTCATAAACCTGCATATGGTTTGCTACACGAGTGCCCAGGTGCTGCCTGGTTCCTGGGGCGCGGTTTGAGGGAACACGGGGGCCCATGGCTCCTGTGGGGCAGAGGCTCTGGGATGGCTGCGAGCAGCCAGTGTTGGGCTGCATGGCACAGGGGAGTGATGCAAAGCAACACGGGAACTGGGGGAGCACCTACCATTACCCTGCGAGGCGAGCGCCGGGCTGGTGTAGCCCAGATAGAGCGCGTGAGCAGCTGGCAGGCTGGTGGGGCCAAGGAGCCGCCCAGCAGCCACCAGACTCCGTCCTGCTGGGCAGGGGTACCGAAGGGTCTCAGAGTCCCGGTACCCCAAGAACCATCACAGTTAGTGCCCCATGGCTGTGCCCCATATACAGGCCATGGGGACCACAGGAGGGTCAGTGTCACATAAACAGGCCATGGGGCTCACAAGGGGTCAGTGCCCCATATACAGGCCATGGGGCTCACAAGGGGTCAGTGTCCCCTCTATGGGGTGGGTTTAGTGCTCCC